TTAAGTGCTCTTACAGTTACAGTCATACCTCATGTCACGGACACTTCAGGTTACGTCTTTTCAGGTTGTGTCCCATGGTGATGCGGAAGTACCGGAAAGGGTTACTTCTGGGTTTCGCCACTTGCGCATGTGCAGAAGCGCTAATTGCACTTCTCGCATGCGCACAAGTGCCAAATTGCACCGCACACCTGCACAGATACGGCGCTTCAGGTTGCGCTCTTTTCAGGTTGCGAATGGGCTTCCAGAACGGATCCCGTTTGCAACCAGAGGTACCACTGTACTTCACTGCAGCCTTCATCTCCTCAGCATAATTTCCATTACTCATCCGCTCGGTGCCCCCACCTTTATCCCTCTTTTTGTTTTGTCAATATCTACTTCAGATCCTCTCATGCCTTCTCCTGGCTGGTCTCTTCCCCTCTTGCCTGCACAGCATTCCTCAATCCTGAGTATCATTGTATCTCCCAGCTACTTCTTTAAATCTCCCAACTAAAAAAGGTCTTGGTTTTCATAATCCACCACACCACTTCTAGGTTGCCAGGCTTGGTATTTTTGTGTGGTCCTCTTTTCTATCAACTCCCTGAACCCTCCATGGCTACTCTTCCCCTTCACATGGCAGGGAGGAGAGGGAAGGAACCAAGGTGAACCATTCCAATTGATACAGAGTCCTGCTCTGGCTCATTATTTCTACATCCCTTATAGTTTTTGGAATCTCTTTCCTCTCCCAATTACTTCAAACAATTCTCCCTAGAAAATCCTCAGAACACTACTGAAAAAAGCCTTTCCATGCCCTCAGGCAGTCCCTAAAGGAAAAACAGGGTTGTGCTATTCTGGGCACCCTAAAGGGGACTTTACTACGCAAATTATATAAACCTTCACTGCAAATTATATAAACCTTCACTGAGGATGATTTCGCTGAATGTTAGAAACTGAATTTAACACACACACACACACATCCCGTAGAGGGTCAGGATTTCCCAGAGCTCTTTAGCAGTCTTTTTTTTTTATGCCTTTTGGAGGATTGTCTTCCCAAAAAAGACAAGGGAAATCGTTCCAGAAATATGGAGTTGATTATACTACACTAAGAAAATGTAGAAGAAAGAAAACACATGACTCAGGGATCTTTGGAAGCTACTATATTTAGGTTCTCCCAGTTTCTTCAGTATAAATCCCTATTTTAAATATATTGATTGCTATGGTATATTTCAATCATTGGTGTTCATAGGAAATTGATTTACCTTGCATTTTAATTACATGTGGCTATAATTTATAATAGGCTTTGCACTGGTAAACCATTTAAAAGTTTTTTGAGCCACAAGCAATTTAAATGCTTGGGACCCTCAGAATGAGGAATCCTATGAGTTGATAATTGTGTCTAATTCGAGGTAGAATTACAGTGAACAGTTACATAGGAAATTCTCCATTCAAATGCAGGCGATCTCAGCAAACTAAAGTGAGAACCAAATTGAAATGAAATATTTCTGGCCAAACAATGCATACAAGAATTTAAGGAAAGACGTTTGCTTAAGCAAGAACCCATAACTGAATTCTTATGACATCCCTACCACCAGAATTTCCATTGAACTACATACACAAGCAGAAAGAAACATATGCACTCATGTTCTTTTACTTTTTTCTGCTGATTAGTTGTTCCCTGGTGTTCAGCTCGGGTCTGAATATAATAATGTAGCATTTAGGGGAAAAGATGCAACCCAGTAATCCAGCACCAGAGGACAAGATGGAAAAGATCTCCACAGCTACCATATATTTTCCTTTGGTGCTCAGATAGGTGGGAACAAAGGACAACCAAACACTACAAAACACCACCAAGCTGAAAGTGATAAATTTGGCCTCATTGAAACTATCAGGTAACTTCCTGGCAAGGAAAGCCAAGATGAAGCTGACAATGGCCAACAAACCCATATAGACTAAGACACCATAAAACATGGCCACTGAACCCTCATTACATTCAAGTATGATTTCCCCATGCAGCGAGTGCATATCAGTATCTGGGAATGGAGGGGATGTACTTAACCAAAGAGTACCAAGGGAAGCCTGAATAAATGAGCAGAAAAGGACAATAGCGTTTGCCAGCCTTTTCCCTATCCATTTCCTCATCCTGGATCCTGGTTTGGTTGCCATGAATGCCAGAAGCACAGTAATGGTTTTTGCCAAAACACTGGAAAGGGCCACAGAAAAGATGATGCTAAAAGTGATTTGTCGGAGAAGGCAGGTCACCTTTCCAGGCTGTCCAATGAAGAGAAAGGAGCAGAGGAAACAAAGCAGGAGGGAGATGAGGAGGATGTAGGTGAGAGTCCGATTGTTGGCTTTGACAATGGGAGTATTATTGTGCTTCATAAAAGTCCCAAGCACGAATAATGTGATCAGAGAGAAGATAATGGTCAAGATAACTAAGACGAGTCCTAAATCTTCTTTATAAGAGAGGTAGCTTGGGACCTTGGGAATGCATTGGGTTTGGTCATGGTTGGGATACTCATCTTCTGGACATTTCACACAGGCATCCATATCTAAAATAAAGGAAGAGCTGTTAAAAAGATTCTGACAGTGATCAATATATAGCTAAAACATTGTTCTGAAGGCACCCCTGTTTAGGTTTGATGTTTTATTGTGTTTTTAATATTCTGTTTGGAGCCATCCAGAGTGGCTGAGCAGACGCTCAGTTGATTGACGGGGTATATCATCATCATCATCATCATCATCATCTTAACTTTTTCAGGGTCACCATCCTCAGAGAAAAAATCACATAAATACATAAACAGAAAAGTTTGCATTCAATTTATTTAATTGCTTCAGAAATTTATTTTTCCCCACATGGACAGAATCTAAAAACCATCTTCACAGCGTTACATGTTGTTTCATGCTACAGTTAAACATTAAGTTGTTCTACTATGCTGTCAATTTATAGTGGTACCTTGGGTTACATACGCTTCAGGTTACGTACGCTTCAGGTTACAGACTCCGCTAACCCAGAAATAGTACCTCGGGTTAAGAACTATGTTTCAGGATGAGAACAGAAATCGTGCTCCAGCGGCGCGGCAGCTGTGGGAGGCCCCATTAGTTAAAGTGGTGCTTCAGGTTAAGAACAGTTTCAGGTTAAGAATGGACCTCCAGAACGAATTAAGTACTTAACCCAAGGCATCACTGTATTCTGTTCTTTGTTTGAAGTATTAATCCTATAAGCGGTATCCTATAAGCGGTATTATCAAAGTGGAGAAAATAAACGTCAAGGCTGGGATTCCACAAGTGCAGGCTTTTCTATGCTGCCGTGGAACAAATGTTCCACAATAAGTTCTCACATTCAGTATTGTATATTGAAAGCAGAAATGTCCTATATTGTGTATTTATTTAAATAGTTAATAACCTGTTCTTTATTGAAATAAGATTATAAAAACCAATTAAATTAAACAATATTAAAAGCAGAGTATATTGATGAAATGCCAGATGGTCCACTGGGAAAAAGTTCCTTTGGCTACCCTATTGGGACTGGAAAAATCAAGGAAAGACTTTCAGTGACAGTGGAACCTGGCAAGGGATCTTCACACCAACCCTTTGAGGTTGCGTGGACTGAGAGATAGTGATGGACACAAATTCACTCAGTCCCACGCTCTTTGAAACTCTTAAAAATTAATTATTAGGTTTTTGGTGTGTTTTTTGTTTACAATTTTGCATTGCAAACTACCTCCATATGCATTCAAGGGGTACACTTTATGCTGTGTTATGGAAATGTGAATAAGATGATTGTGTCAGTTATTCCTCCCACCTTTATACTTAGAGATCATCCCTTCTGGACATGAAGCACAATCATAGCAGCAAAATTTCTCTCCTTCCTTCTTTTTC